TAGTTTCCAGTATTACCTTTTAGTAAGATTTTATGTTCTATTCCTTTTAATTGTGTCTACACATTTTCTTTTCTTTTTTTTTATACAGAGATTGGTAGTATTACCTTACTAACAGTTTTACATCACTGCAGCTCTGTATTTGCATCCGTATAGATTTAACTGTGCTGTGTTCTAATCTTCAGCTTTTACATTGCTAAATCCTGCAGAATCTTAATTATGAAGGGCTGCTTCTTCAGCTCTTTGGCCTAGTCTTAATTTCAGACATCATAATTTGGTGTGCAGAGCCTTGGCACGCATACATATAACTGGACTCTTGATCAGTTGCCCTCATTTGCACATTACTGACACTATCAGCAGGGCCCTTTTTATTCAGCTTTTGAAGTTCTCTGGGCCACTTGCAGGAAGATTTACTAAAGAGGACTAGAGGGCTTTTAAGTATTCTCCAAAATCTGATGATTTTTGGTGACCCTGTTGCAGATTTTATGTCCCAGGCATGCTTGGTCCTTGTTCAAACAAACAACACAGTAATTTTGTACGTATGTCAGTAATGGACAGTCTCAAGACAGTTGATGCAGTTTTTGAATCTGCTCTATCAAACAAGAGAAAAGACAGACACAGTACATTTCCTATTAGCCCAGCATGCTTTGGTGAAAAATACTAACCAAATAAATTGCTTCCCATATAAATGTTCTTATCTTTTCAGTTTTCCCTGGAAGGCCTCCTCTTACTGTTTTATTACATTTGTATTCAAGTAGGTATTTGGTAAAAGCATTGGAGCTAAAGTATAAGTGACTTTAGCTGCTTGCAGGTGAGATGGACAGCCATTTATATCCTGCAAATGGAATTAGCTATTTGCCAAATCTCATTGACTTCAATTAAAGGCACTATTTGAGATGACTTAAATGTGCTTGCTATTTCATACAGAAACAAGCTGGGCTCAGCTTTTTTTACCTTATTAATGTGGGTTGCCTTACTCAGAGCTGCTCTTGGCCTCTGCTTAGCTGTTTGTACCTTAATAAGGCTTGCTACATTGTTATCCTGAGTACCTTGCTCTAATAGCAGTTTTGAAATGGGACTACTAAAACTACCACATAGACTGGGGCTGAGAGGGGCTACACCAGTGGTACTCAACCTTCTGGGGCTGCAGGCTGGATTCAGACCCTCTGCACCAGAATCAGGCTGTGCAATGCCTCTTTTGGCCCTATGCCCCCAATCAAGCACTGTGCTGCCAGATTGGGTCCCAGACTATCTCCATTCACTTCCCTGTGGCCCGTGCTGCTGGATTGGGTCCTGCAATGCTTTTCTTGGCCCCATGCTACCTCCTTGAGGTCTTGTGCTGTAAGCTAAGGCTCTGCACTGCCTCCAACCAGCCCCTATGTGCCCATCAGGCCCCAGGCACGCCAATCCAGCATGGCTTGGGGGTTCCCCATAGGTCCCAACATTTGGCAGAAGGAGAGTGGCAGTTAGTGTCACTACTACCCTGCTGCCAAACTTTGGGAGTTTTGGGGACTCCTGTCAGCCAGAGGACATTGCTCTGTGGACTGAATCTGGCCTGTGAGCCAGGGGTTGAACAGCTGTGGGCTACATGGATTAACTGCCCACCCCACATCAAAGTTAATTTTCTGTATGCCAGATGAGCCCACTATGTACAGCTTAGACTGGACATCATATTTTCTCAAATCCAAGATAAGTTTTTTTCCACCAGTCAGTCAGGATGGTGGGGGGGAAGCCGTGTCTTAGATATAAGTACCAGTCTGGGGCTGGCAGCTACAGCTTTGGCTCCCAGCCCTGGGTTGAAGCTGGACTTGAGACACCACTTGTCCCAGGCTGGAATGATTTGTTTGGCAAGGGAGGGGGCACACAGCCATGAGAAGTGCAGGAGAGACTGGCCGGGTACCTTCAACCTGCCCTCTCACCCCTTGCCTGCCCCCTCCCCACTTACATTCTGCTCGGGCTCTGGTCCATCCCAGCCCTGACTCTGACCAGCCAGGAGCTTCCATTTTTCTGAGGTTGGGCTGGACTGAGGCTAGGCTGGAGCCACACCAATGATGAGTGTGCTAATTCAGAGTGCAGCTGGTATGGTGGGAAGGTAGTTGCGGGGGCAAGCTTGGGCATTGTGTGGGGGGCAGGCTAGAGGAAGGAGCAAGGGGTAGAGGAGGTGGGGGTTGGCCTGTGCTAGGGGTGTATTCTTCTGACTGCCCCAGAGGAACAGAGCTTCACCAGAAGGTAAGGGGGGCAGGCTTCAGCAGGAGGAAGGGGCTAGGGGAGGCAGAGACTGGTGGGGTAAGCATAGATATTGGGGACTAATGGGCAGGGGTTGGGGGGTTAGGCAGTGGGTGCAGACAGGTACAGAGAAGCAGGTGATGGGGGGCAGGCATGGGGGAGGCCAAGGGCAGGGGAGGAAGTGGCAGGGGTCTGGCCTCTCACCCCCCACTGCTGATTTCCCTGTGGGATGGGGAGGGGACACAGTGGAATTTAAGATGATGTTCCACTAATTAGGTTCTATATATGGAAAATCATAACAAATTTATAATTTTCCATGTATAGATTCAATTAGTAGGGTGGGAGGTCGTCCTACATGCAATGTTCTCCTGGATTCATATAAATATAGTATAGGTTTTCCAGTAAGTAATTCTATATATTTCAGTTAATAGCATAATTTATAGAAGTAGTGTAATATATCACATTCAAACGGGATTTTTTATAACATTAAAGAAAAGGAGAGAGAGATGCATATATCAGGCCACAATCAAGTTATTTGAAAACGTGTGCATATTCAACAAAGTAAGAATGATTGCTTAAAATTTGTTTAGAAAATAAACAGAAATGTCTTCCAGTGAAACTGGAATGGAACAGCACAAGACTTCAGTACTTCTATGTACTATTCTTTCATCTATTATTCTGACATTGTTCTCTAAAACCTAAAAATATGAAGTGAATAATTATCAAGTGTTTTGTTTATTGACCTTCAGCAGCATATAGCATTCTGTTCACTTTTATGAACATGTTACCTTCCTCAGTCAGTTGCTTCCTTGTTCATGCACATTTCTGAATCTCTCACTCAAGAATGTTTTATCTCAATTATTCTGTTACAGTGATATTAGTCTGTGTTATTCAGAAGCCCCCTTCCAGTCTTATGTTTTTATGTTGCATACAAAAAATTTGTACATTTTTAGCCTACCAATCTATATCATTAAAGATAAAAAAGCGTAAGTATGTAGAAGTATTAAAACATTTTTATTACATCTGTTTTTCTGAGTCTATTACTACTACAAATAGAGCCCATTTTGCTAAAATACAAATTTCCTCTGCTAATCTTGAATCAATATGTTGGAGGTATAACCTGTTTAAGCACTGGCTTAAAGAGTATATAATTAATGAATATTAAAATTGTTTGCAGGACCATTCATCTCATGCCATATTTACCGGTATACCATATGTAGCCTTTCCATCCAAAATGAATTCTCCAAAATTGGGGTCATTGTCATAAATGATAAACCTCAGTTTTTTCTTCACTGGAGAAGAAACAGGGTGGAATAGAGCAAGCAGACGCTATCACTCATGGCAGCTAATATGGCTACTACTTATTCTTAGAGCTATAGGGGAAGTATGCAGGATCTCTTTCTGCAAGGTCTCACTCTCTCCTCCGGGGCTGCAGGCTGCAAACCCCCACGCTCCTCCACTCTGAGGGGACTCCGAGAGAGCTTCCCCCTTTGGCGCTCCTGCTGGTCTCCTCCGTTTCTCCTCACATGCAGCTCCTTTTAACTCCCTCGACTGGCTCCTGCAACTGCTGCCATCAGCTGGCCGCAATTTTATAAAAATGCGGCTAGTGAGCCGCTCGGGTCCCGCCACCACTTCTGGCTTTGTCGCGGTCCCAGCTAAAGGTGAGAATCTTTCTGTTTGCTTCTCTTTTCTTTCTCTGCCCCGCTCCTGCTCCCTGGGTTCCCCCTGGGCTCCCTGGGGTTTTCCCCTTGGTTGCTCCCTGGGACAGACACTATATAAAAGATGCCCTTTTCCAATCATCCAGGACCTTTCCCAGTCACCACAAGTTTTCAAAGATAATAGCCAGTGCTTCTGCAATCAGATCAGCCAACTCCCTTAGCATCCTCGAGTGCATCACATCCAGCCCCATAGACTTCCACACATCCATCTTTTTCCTAAATAGGCCCTAACCTATTTTTTCACTACTTTTGGCTGCTTACCTTCTTTCCAGACTGTACTGCCAGATGCGGTGGTCCAGGAGCTGAATTTGCCTGTGGACTCTGAGGTGAAAAAGGCATTGAGTATTTCAGAAGAATTTATATATGTTTCTAAACATTGTGCCTTCCAAAAACAAAGGGTGCCTGTAGGTGTGCAGGGAGCTGCTAAGATGCACTGTAATTACAGCATGTCTGTGCAGACTTGATTAATTGAATCTGCTGGAGCATGCTAATTAGCATGCTCCAGCGGCCTCCATGTCTCATGTATCATCATCCCCATGCTTCCAAATGGTAGTGAGGCACTTCAACTAAAGCTCATTCAACCCTGCCATTTTGAAGGTCAGGGATGCTGATACAAGAGACACTGCAGGCACTTTAATTAGAGCGGCTCTCATAGCCACTCTAATGAAAGCATCCCCTGCTTCATCCCTGGAGCATGTGTAATAATGCCCCAAAGTGCTTGTTTTATTTGGGGGCATGTTGTATGTGAGAAAATACAGCAGTAGACAGGATGAAAGCATATGTAGATCCAATTTTTGTATCGTCTGTGTTACAAATTTGTCCCTTGGTGAGTGGATATCACTGAGTGGACATGGGTATGGAAATTAAGAAACTGCTTAAACACTTTTCAAAGTGTTTAGTCAGGGACTGGGCCTTTTTTGTGTAACCATCAGTGTTTAGCCTCTTAAATCTACACATGCTTGAAATCAGCATAGAGCTTAAGATACTCTTGAAAAGTAGGAGCATCTGGGCAAAATCTATGTGGCTGTTATACTGTTCCTTTGTCTTTGCTTTCCCAAGGACAGCTCCACTTCCTCACAGCAGGTCTATCACTCAACTCAAGAGATTTAGAAAGAGAAGGCTGTCTCAGGCCAAACTTCCCATTGCAAGTGCGTCTAGTTCCCAAAGAATATAATTATATGTACTATACAAACAATTTCTTCTCCCTCCTCAAGTCTCTCTTAAGAATGATGGAGACTGTAATTCAAATAGACTTCAGAGATTCATGAAATTGGGGAGAATGCTGCAGAGCTCCAGTTCCCTTGGAGGTCTTTATCCATAGCATGCTAATTTTTGTATTGTGTATTGCAAGGTATCACTTTTGCCCTATATTTTGAGATATGTTTCACAGTATTTTTGGTAAAGGCTCTTCTTACTTTTTAATTTTTCAAGTAATTAGGTGTCTATAAAATAATGATGTAATAGAATGAATTTTATTTCAATAAGTATATACCTTAAAAGAATATTAACTATACACTGCAGTCTGAATATTAGCTATATTCTTCCAGAATCTTTGCATTTACCTTACTGTATGCATAAATGAATTTCCACCTCTCTGCTTATGACAACAGTTTGTTTTACATGTGGGTGGACTATGTATTGACTGATCTTTAAAATCCTGATAATAAAATATAGTGGATAATGATATTTCTTTCAAGTGTAATGCATCTAGAGAATGCATATTTTCTTTTCAGGTAACTAAATACAATACAGAGATTACTGAAGGAAGTCCAGCGGAAAGCTACTGCCAAGAGGACTGTGTTGTTATTGATGGAATAGCTTTCAGGGTGGTGGATTGTATTGAGAATATAACAAATAAGTTTAAAGAAATAGATTCTCTGATGGCTGAATTCCAAAATGTTTAATGCTGAAACCAACTCACAAACAGAATAACCAGCCCTATCAGGATACCTGCATATTGTCTATCCCCCCTCCCTGCCCCACCGCCCATATTCATAGGCTTAAATAAGTGAATGCTATAAAAAGAATTCAAATGTAATTTAATGTCAAGTATTAACTGATAACACTTCTAACAAAATAGTGGTATATTTTGAAGTGAATAGTTGTTTAAAATGTAAATATTCATTTAAACTCTTTTGCTAATTTCATAGAATATTTTTGTTAAGGTTTGAAACAAGTTATAGATACTGAAAGTTTATCTGTCTTCATAAAATAAAGACAGATAAACTTATTGTGTTGATTCTGAACATTTCTTGAATTCTCAAAGCATTTTGACAAGATGGTGCACCTTTTGGATGTTCAGAAAAAAGTTATTTAAGTAAATCCTCTGGTAGTCATGAATAATCTTAGCTATGCAGCTTTATCCAATATGAAACAGTGATGGGGTTTGTTAGTCCTTTGATCCTCATATACAATTCTCAGTTGATTGTACTGAGCTCAAATTTAGATCTGGGTAATTCAGCTATGGAGACTATGTTCTGTTCCTAAAATACGTCTTCCTGACAGTAGCCATATTATGTATTTTGGAATTAGAGGGTTATTGTATATTCAGGGTATACCTATCTCAATAGTCTGAAAATAATGTTGAAAAGTATGGAAAAAGAAAAAAAGTTCCCATGCAAAATACCAAAATAATAGGGAGAGGTCAAAGCATACCCAATGTAAATGAAGCAAATGTGCATTAGTTGAAACAAAGGACACAGCAGAATAAGAAAAAAACAGAATGATGCAAATACTGTTTCAGCACTGGAGATTAAAGTGTTTTAACATTATTTTGGTAAAAGAATATTAACTGCCCTGATTGCAGGACAGGTAGGCAGGATCGATTTCTCCCCCACTCCCCTCTAACCCCCAACCCAATAGGCAAACATCTGTTGGGTCAAGGGGTTACTCTAACTTGTGACACTTTATGCAAAGTGCCATGAGTTAGAGCAGGGACCTGCACATGCCAGAGCCCTGTGTGTTACAGGAAGAGTCTTCATGTCACAAAAGTCAATGTTGAAGGATATATTAGAGGAAGACGAGCAGAGTAGATGCTGCAAATCCAGTTGTGTGGATGCAGAAACTCTGTTAACCTATGCAAATAATGTGGAGGAAGCTACAACTACTGTTGCAGAACCTATCCGTGAAAAGCCACAAGACAGAACCAGAAAGGGGCTTCTCAGTTGTCCCACTTCCTACCTCTGGTGAGCGTGAGAGGTGAAATTTGTATTAACTTTCCCATTTTTTTATAACTTTATTTGTATAAAATTTGAATAATCAGGTTTTACAGTACTGAAATTAATTTTATCTGACTTGTTTTGAAAATGATTGTATTTAAAATAACATTTTACTATTTTAACATATTTTCAATACATGTTATAACTGCCTCACCTAATCCTCTGCTCTTATAATAGCTCATGCTTGCTTTGTGTTTATGGTAAGAGAGTGAAAGCATTCTTTATTTGGTACTTGCTGATAATTTAAAAAGTAAAAACACTTTAATACCAAAATGGAGACAGAAGACTAAGCTAGAGAAAGTAAACTGTAAATAATGTGTATTCCTTAATACAAAATGTTCTTTTAGACTGAGAAGTTTCTAACCTGGTGCTCACATTTTGAAAGGAATGACAGGACTATAGGAATCATAATCTGTTGAGCTTCACCTCAGTAAAAGGACAACTGAAAAAGTATAATTAAGGACAGAGGAATGAAACTCTTGGATAAGTATATGCTGATACTATCAAACAAGCCTAGTTGCTCTAAGGGTAAGTCATGCCTTTCTGACCTGTTAAATTCTTTGAGTAAAAAATACAGTGGATAAAGGGCATCTGGTGGAAGTAATTTACTTAGATTTTCAAAAGGTTTTTGATAAAATCCCTCACAAGAAACTAGTAAGGAAAATAGGTAGCCACAAGGTAAGGGCTAAAGCCCTGTCAAGGATTAAAAATGAATAAGCCAAAGAAATAGAGTCATAATAAAAATCTTTACCGAATAAAGGTAAATGATTAGTGGGAAAATGCAAGGCACTTAAGAACAATCAGATTTCAATGGCTTTACTCAGTGGCTAATATTCAACAGGGGTCATTATGATTGCATCTTTACTTACAATTTTCAGGAAAACTTTCATCATTGCACTTCCATTGTATCAGGGTTAGCAATGGCAAGAGTGCTGACAGTTTGGGCACAGTTGTTTTTAAAAACGTGTTTTCTAACTGTTTGAAAAAGCTAGTAAAAGTAATTGTATCCAGTTGATCAGTACAGTTTGAACTTGTACTGTAGTTATTGCTAGCACAGATGTAAATGCAATGACATAAAGTGTACTCAAGGATTTCCACATAGACACGGCTATTACTACCATTTATAAGTGGAGAGGGAGGAGAATCAGCATCTCTCAGTTTTGTTATGAGCCAGCAGATTCCATGTAACCTACACACAGAAAAACCATAATAAAAAAATCTAAAATAGGAAACTGTATTTTTAAAAAGTTCCTGAAAAAAAATTGAGATACCACAGTTTTTACCTGTCTTGTGGACAGGTCAGAAGAAAGTTAAGAAGTTTTAACATTGCAAACAAAGCATGTAACATGTTCTCAGTCTTTATTTTATTTTATTTTATTAAATCACCAGCTGTACTGTGCTGTAGCTACATTCAGAGTATTTTTCTAAGAGCTACAACCTTTTAAAAAATAATATTTAGAATTCATTTTCTCTCGCCATCTTTTGGTAACAGGTACAACACAATCTGGCCCTATCCCATTTGCCTGCTCCAACATACAGTAATTGCAACTACTAAAAGAAAAACTTGCTTAAAGCATAAACCTAAAATATAATTACAGATTTTTAAGATTAAAAAAAGAACGAGTAACAATTATCTATAAATCATTGCTACATCAGTATGTCTACCCAGTATTTCCTCCCTTACCTACCAATGTTTCAGTTTAGGGTTCTAAGTTGTCCCTATTACATTCAGGGCTTGAGCCCCAGCCACGTGAAATTAATGTTAGGGAAACTTATGCTTAAATAGTATTCTCTTCACCACTGCTTGCAGGATTTAAAATATGTAATCCATAAAATCCATAATTTAATATAGCATTTTCCCAGAACAAGAAATCAACCCTTGTAACAAGTCATACATCCTCTGTAGTCTAGCAATTTTACTGGACAGAGAAAAAATGTTAAATGTAAGGACTGTACAATTCAGCCCTTGGTGAGAGGCCTAGACAAATCAGTGCATCTTGCAATTTTTTCCCCTCTATGTAGGCACATGACGTTTGTGTGCATTTCTAGCAGGAAATTCCAGTGCATCTTGCAATTCTAGCAGGAAATCAGTACATCTTGCAATTTTTTTCCCCACTGTGTAGGCACATGACGTTTGTGTGCATTTCTAGCAGGAAATTCCACAAGTGGTGACTTATCAGAAAAATTACCTGGTCCATAAGAATCTTGACCATTCATGGGAACTAGCATTTGAATTGAAGATGGTTAATATTTTGGGTCAGAAGGGAGTAGCAGTCTCTGAAGCAACACTGTTCAGAGGTTAATAGTAGGGAGCTTTTGGCATTTCACTGAACTGATAATTGACAGCCAGTTCTGCATGTACAAGATGGGCTCAATATGGTCACAGGCTATCTTTCTCAAATGGAATAGCTGCATTCTTTACTGTTTAAATTTTCTTGGTGACATTCACTGTTAGACTCAGATAGCATGTGTGGCAGTTTTCTAGACTACAGAAGTGATTCTCAACCAGGGTGCCATGAGATTCTCTAAAGGATGTAGTAGGGTGCCATGTAATATAAAGTGTGTAAACACCTACACATGATTCACATGATAAGATTTGTAGGAATCCACAGTGTCAAAACTACTACCAGCACACAGGATCCATATAACCAGAATGGGGAAGAGTATCTGTGGACATTAAGTTGTAGGAGGACAGGGGGAGTCATGGGGAGGAAATCCCTGCTTGCTCCCTTCCCTTCAGTGTCCAAGAGGCAAGATGCCTCACTAGTGATGGGATGAGCTGTAATGCTGGCTAGAGCAGGGCAGCTGGAGAGCTGGTCCCAGTGCAGCACTCCCAGGAAGCCCCGAGGTAGGTCCGGGGGTACAACGGGATAATCCTCTTACCTCATAAGTTCTCCTAGGTTGGGGTGCAGGCAAGCCCAGAAATGAAGGGAGAGGAAACAGGGATGTCTGGGACAGGGCAGTAACCAGCACAGTTGTTCCCACCCTCAGGGGAGGAAACACCTGATCTCAGCTCACCATAGGTGATTCACCTTAATACAGGACAGATGAGTCACAGCTGGAGACCAGAAACCAATGTTGATAGGCTGGGAATATGTGGAGGAGAACCTAAAAGGATGCAGGAGGTGGTAATGGGAGGAACTCCATGCTGGAGAGAGGTGGTGGCAGGGGGTGAGGGGCACACCTACCCTTATTTTTTTATTTTTGTGACTGATAGACTATGGGGAATTCCTGGAAGCCAACCAGAAAGGTACTGTGTTTAACTCCTGTCTGTGAAGCGTTAACACTAGGTGCCCTTAATCAACCAGGAGGCCTGTGTGGGAGTGTAGGGGTTGGAGGAGCCCCCACTATAGGCCTATGAAGCCTCACTCCAGGCCATAGCTGATTATTTTTGGACTAGTAGAAAGAGAGCCCTGATGGCAGGGTCAGTTTCCTTCTCTAGGATAGAATTTTACCTTAATATTATCAAATTGTGGTGGGCAAGCATCCCAAGAAGGTAATGTACTCCCTAGGAGGGCACACAGCACTGATTGAGCCATGGAAAAGGGGCAAGACCATATATTTGGTGCATTGGCTGGGAACCCTGGTAAACCCAAGGCCATAAAGAGAATTTAAGGACATGAAGCAACAATAGCTCCTACTAGGTGCTGGAGCTGCACCGGTACAGGATTTGCTGATACAAATTTTACAGGTACAACAGAGACAAATGGAGGATCTTTTTCAGCCTAGAACAGAGGAGCAAGCTGCCCATGGTACCATAGTTTGGGAGACAGCAAACTTTGATTGAGAAACTGGAAGGGAGGCAGGGGATTGGACCAATTGTGAGTCTCAGAATGCCAAAGATGGATAAAGATGATGATCTGGAGGCCTACTTAGAATCACTTCTAAGGTAGGCTGTAGGATGTGGGCCTACCAACTGGGTCTACTACTGACAGGTAGGGCATAAGCAGCCTATGGAGCCCTACCCTGGGAAGAAGTGGGGGACTACAAGAAGTTAAAAGAAGTCATCCTG